CAAGAGATGTACGCGTCGCAAGTCTCATTCTTGTGAGCGAAAGCCCAGGCATAACGGGTGGCATGATCAATGGCTAAGTGAATGAATCTTTTGGATGAGCCGTAGTTGCCAAAACCTCCGATAGTGTCCATGGCCAGAAGATCAAACGGTTGTTCCGCTGGTGGCAAAGACTCCAAGGAACCAAATCGTTTGTTCTTCGGTTTCTTGCAGTGCTGGCAGGTATCGCAGTGGCGTATGTACTCGCTCACGTCGGTGATGATGTCGGGCCAATAGTACTGTGGAGAGAGAAGCCGCAGCGTCTTCTTTACCCCGACATGACCGAAAGCGTCATGAGCTTTTTGGAGAAGAGAAGACCGGAGGGCAAAAGGCACATATACTTTTCGTATTCCCCTGCGTGTCACTATACTCAGTCCGTTCTCAATGGTATGCTTTCCGGGTGGTTTGTCGTTGTCATGCTCTCGCAGTTGCTCAGCAGATAGGAGTTGAATTACCGGGCTTCGAGATAGTGCATCAGCTTCAATGTTGTCAATGCCCTTTTGGTGCTTGATGTTCACGTCGTACATGGAGAGTTTCAGGGACCACCGGAAAAGTCGGCCTCGGGGATTCTTGATGCTTTTAAGCCATTGCAACGCTGCGTGATCTGTGATCACAGTGAAAGGTTTCCCGTGTAGATAGCAGTGCCATTTATCGATGGCGTCAATAATTGCCAAACATTCGAGTTCTGTGATGGCGTAATTAATTTCGTGTTTTAGTAACTTCCGTGAATGGTATGCGATTGGGTGCTCTCTACCTTCACCATCAGCCTGCTTCAAGACGGCGCCGATACTTCTGTTGGATGCATCGCAGTATAGCACACAAGGCTTAGTGGCATCGTAGATGTTAAGGATTGGCTCTTCTGTTACGCATTTCTTGAGCTGAGTGAAAGCCAGTTCACACTCCGCATCCCAGTTCCAGGTGGCGTCTTTGCTGAGTAGGCGCGTCAGTGGGTGAGCGATTTGACTGAAGTGGTCGATGTATCACCGGTAAACATTGACAGTGCCGAGAAAACGCTGCAACTCTTTAGGGCGTGATGGTGTCGGAAACCGTAGGATTGCGTCCACGTTGCTTTGCTTTGGAGTGACGGTGCCATGCGAAACCTTGTGTCCCAGGTACTCAATGGAGGTTCGAGCGAATCGACATTTCTTTAATTTTAGCTTGACGCCTTCGCTTTTGAAAGCTTTCAAAACGCCCTCCAGATGCCTCAGATGGTCTGGAAACGTGTCAGAGTAGACAACAATGTCATCGAAGTAATTCGTGACGTTCTGCAAACGGTGTTTTGCCAATACGAATTCGACAGCCCGTTCGAAGGTGGCCGGAGCATTCCGAAGGCCAAAAGGCATGACGAGCCACTCGTAGTGACCGGTACGTGTGACAAACGCCGTTTTCGGAATGTCATCAGGGTGAATCTTCACGTGCCAGTAACCTGACGTTATGTCTAATGTCGAGAAGTACGTAGATTTCCCCAGAGAATCGAGAACGTCATCGATGCGAGGGATGGGCTGATAATCAGGCACCGTCAATTCATTCAGCTTGCGGTAGTCGATGCAGAATCGCGTGCGTCCTTCCCCTTTTTTCTCTGCCAGAAGTGCTGGCGCAGCGTATGGGGAGGTAGATAGTCGTATGACACCTTGCTTGAGAAGCTCATTGACCTGTCTGTCCATTTCAACGCTGTCAGTTTCTGAGCATCGATAGGGAGCTCTACGAATGGGAACATTGTTGTTGAGATGAATGCGATGCATTTCGCCGTTGATGCACCCAATGTCTGTCGGTGACTTGGAAAAAATGTCATCATACTTGTGGATAAGCTGCTTCAATGCCAACTGTTGAGTTTTATTTAGATGTAGTACATCACAAACTTCAACACCTTGCAAAGGCGCGCCCTTGTTAACCGTGGTTTGGTTCTGTGTACGAGAATGGAGGATGTCTTTCCCTTGGCGTAGAGTCATAGTGTCAAGGTCCAGCGACAAGTTAAAGAGGCAAGCACTATCCAAGCCAAGAAGTAAGTTGCTCTTCATGCCTTGTAGAACATGAGCCTGAATTTCTCTTGTCACTTTTCCTATCTGTACCTTTAGATTAACGCGACCCAAAGTTTTGGTAGATGATGTGACTTGTTGGACTGAGATGCATGAATTCCTCATTATTTGCAGGTGAAGTGCCTTCAGCACTGCTTCGTTGATACAGGTAATCGTAGCTCCGGTATCAAGTGTAGCGCTGACAGGGTACCCGTTAATGAGGGCATCGAACTGAATTACATGAACTCTGGGTCGCCCTCCTCGTTTCCCTGGTTGGTGGAGAGGGCGGAAATGCTTGCGCGTCGTGGGCATTCATTATGCCAGTGCATCTGTCGGGGTAAGCCATCCATCGCGCAGTGTTTGCACTCACGCACGGGTGTTCGTACCGGGGAATTACGTGGACGCTGACTAGTTCTGTCACTTGTTACGTTAATCTGTGTATTCCGAGCTGGTGGAAAGCGATGTAACTTCATTCTCTGCATGGTTGACTCTACACGAAGTGCAGCTGTAAGCCATGCCTCTGGTGTAGACGAGGTAAGCCCAGCAAGCGCCATCTCCATATGCGCAGGAAGGCCGTCGATGAGCCCTGATATAAGGTGCGTGTGCTTTAGGTCAGCGAGGCGTCCGAGAGACATTTTTTCATTATAGTATTCCTTCAAGCTCTGGCCGGTTCGCAACCGGCAATGAATGAATTGGCGAAAAGGATCCGCAACGCCACTCGTAAAGCGTTCCTTCATGCGTTCACATAAGTTCTCCCAAGACGCGTCTGTGTCGAAAACCTCGGTGAGAAACCATCGGAAAGCCTCACCTTCAAGGTAATCGGAGAAGTAGCACAGCTTGTCTCGCTCCGTCCATGCTGCGGCCGCAGTCCTCACCTCTAAGAGCCAGAGCCACTTGTCAAAGGGGACGTCCGTAGATGCTCCCGAGCACTTCGGGATGTTGATGACTTTCTTGGATGTGGCCATGATGAAGGGCACGGTAGATCCTGTCGACTAGTGTGACGCTATGATGAACGGGTGACGTGGCCTGGCTCATACGCCATGTTTATTCTAATCTCACTTCTTCCTTGTCGGCTTCTACCAATCATCGCTTCATACGTCACACACACACACACACACACACACACACATATATATATATATATATATATATATATATATATATATATATATATATATATATATATATATATATATATATATATATATATATATATATATATATATATATATCGAAGCGAGGTTTAGGACGTCACGCGTCAATGTTATTGTTGCACAACTTCTACGTTATTTCGTTAATGACACGCAGAAACCAGCAACAATGCGGCCACATCGTTATCATATTGCAGCAATACTCAGCACAACGTCATTGTGCTCCCTTTACGTCATCAACTCCGCTATGCTGGTGAAACTGTACGTTCTGAAGCAGCGTCCGTTACTTCACTTGAAAGCTATTTATAGCTGTTAAAATAGAGTACCACGAAATGTGCTGAAAACGAGAGTATGGAAAGAGGGTGTGGAGGCAATGATTTACCGACACACTCCACTCTACATGGCGAGTCTTGCCGGAGGCAATTTAGAGTACCAACACCAACAGCCCTGCTAGAACCGGACCCACATGGGAGTGCATGGTTTTGGATCGCCGCCGTCAAAGAAGGAGCGATAAAACGCGAATACAACTGAATCACGCAAAGCTTTCCGAGAGTTCTTTGTATGGCACATTACTATGCGTGCTACTGCATGCCACTTTCATAAGACTCTGCTGGTGAGGCGCAAGTCAAACAGACCTAATGACAAGCTTCGTAATGGAGACGGTAAAAGCGTCGATTGAGTGAGCCAATGTCGCGAACATTGCATCGTTCCGGTACATAAACGCAGAAGTAAGGAGCTTATTTCCTCCATATCCAAACACAACCACGCGGGAGAGGGGACGCAATCTTGGAGCTGTGTAACATTTTGCGTGGTTGTGCGAATAATGTCTCAACAGGTACCGTCCATTGGTCGGTCCTTTCGAGCCTGTCTATGCTTTTGATAAATGCCGCGTGTAATATTTGCATTGATTGCATACTTATGGAGAGACACCAAATGTCCCCCTCCTTCCAGTATTGAAAAAAAAAAATAACACAAACCACGCATGTTTAAAATCTCAATGAAAGGTACCTTAGGCACTTTAGGTACCCTCTATGTACCTTAGGTACATTAGGTACCCTATAAACAATTCCAGATGGTCAAAATCCACCCGAACCACTGTATTGTTCCTCGCAAACCTACTGTGGTTTCTTCAAATTGTGCAAACGTCTTTGTGAACAAGCTTATGTCGCCATTGGGAAGTTCAAGAGGAACTCTAAATGTTGTAAATTTAAAACAGGCGTTTAAGTTAGGGCGTCTTATCCATAACAATAATGCCATTTATTATTATACATATCGTGATGATTGAAAAGAAAAAGTATCAGTTTAAGGGCTTGTTTTTTTTATTTCTTAGACACAAAATTAAGAGAGAATAGTATGTCAGGCATTGCTGGTAAGCTGCCAACTCGTAATAATGTCACGTGCTACGAGACGCCAACAGGCAAAACTGTGTTCCCCACCTGCCGAAATGGCAATAGATGGCGCTGACTAACGCTGCCATGTTTATATGCACATATACACCCCAAATAAAGTGAACGGGGGCATGAACGCCTCCGCAGCGCTGTGGTAGAACATCGGTGCGTTATTCGAAGGTTTTATGTTCGAATCCTGCCAGTGTCAAGTTATCTTTCGTCCACTTTACTTTCTAAGCATTTGGCTCACAATTACTTGTAATAAGGTCTGCTATACTTTGCTTGCCATTATTGTCAGTTAGTTCTCATTATTATGGTGACAAAGTTAGTCCCTGGAGTTTGCGGGCTCTCATTTAGAGTGCCAGTTATTTCATTTTACTTCAGCGCTTCCGCTATCTTGCTTCGCGCAGTGTCAACTCCCGAGGACACGGCCACCCTGCACTGGATGGACGACCCCGGCAGTCCACAGCGCAACTTCTCGGCTGCTATTCGCCTCCTGGAGGACATTAAGCCCCTGCAATTCGACCTAAAAGTTCCTGTGGCACACTCGGCCACTGAAGCGTGGATGTTCGGTAAGGTGTCTATTCTTCATTAAATGGGAAAGAAAATAGGGCAGTGATGGAAATGCCCCCCCCCCTCCACTCATTCATCAAAGGGACATACAAGAAAAACATGATTGATATGTGGGGTTTAACGTCCCAAAACCACCATATGATTATGAGAGACGCCGTAGTGGAGGGCTCCGGAAATTTCGACCACCTGGGGTTCTTTAACGTGCGCACAAATCTGAGCACACGGGCCTACAACATTTCCGCCTCCATCGGAAATGCAGCCGCCGCAGCCGGGATTCGAACCCGTGACCTGCGGGTCAGCAGCCGAGTACCTTAGCCACTAGACCGCTGCGGCGGGCATGCAAGAAAAACAATAAAGTGGTTTAGATTCATGTAGTTCACGGTATAACCTCTAGTGTTGTTAGTTTCTCCATCATACCTTCATTATTACTGGAGAAAATGAATGAAGACATTTCACTTTTTAATTTTGTGTCGAATGCTTCACGCGGACGTCTAATATTTCAAAATCGGTTTCTCTTTTTTTTTTTTGACAGCATTGGCTCAGCGAAATTTCTTGAAACATGGCATACAAGTCCCACGGCCGCGTCAGAGGACAATTTATTTCACTTTTGCCGATTATGAACGTCGTAGGCCCCGTCGCGATGCCATCAGTATCTACGGTATCATTGCAATCGGTGAAAAACTTTCGAGCTGTCGTTGCCACCCACATTTAATTTTGGCGCGTTTTCTCGCTTACCCTTACCACGTGTCTTACCACAGCAAGCGGGTTCATACCAAGTCGTGAAAGTATAATTTACTAATTAAATGCGAGAAAACTCAATTACCACTTCAGTATTCTTTGAAGGCGAAAGCGTTGCATGCCTCTTTGAAACGCTGAAAGTGACCGCTGGCTACGGCGTCAACACAGCATGACAATATGAAGAATCGTCATTGCGCGATGACGTCACACCATTCACATCACATTGTGGCGTATTTTTATGACATCAGAGCTTGCTCATAGGATCACAGAGGCAGTGCAACAATAGGTGAGGTGCAGACAGAGCTTGCAAATGCCTCCGATCTTGGAGCCATTGTCCTTAAACATACTTGTGGGGATAACACAGCCACAGAAAGCACAGGACTGCGTTGATTGGCGAAACGTGAGCGAGTCCTTTGTCAGGCAGCGAGCACAGACCGGCTGATGATGATGTTCATAATGACTATGACAAAAATAGCGGTGTAATAAGACTGCAGACTGCCAGAGCCCGAGCGGTTACCCTCCCGGGCATTCTCGATCTTCAACTCTTGAGGACTCGGAGGACAGAACACCACTACTCACCTTTAAATAAATATTCGTTTATTTTTGAGAGCATCATCGACTCTACCGGGGCCCTGCTAAATGTCTGAGTGGTGCAGATGAGCGAGGTCTTCGTAGGCTAAAGACAGATTATATCCTCTGCCTCAGCAATGATTCGTTTCTAGGAGCTCCAACTCAGACGCGAAGTTTCCCGCCCTATGGCTAGACATCAGACGTCTTTCAGATGGTGTGGGCATGCACAAAAGCCCCTCTCTTCCACCTTCTTACCCCACGCAAGAGACATAAGAGTCTGCGACTGCTTTCGAATGGAAGCACAATGGACCCTACAGTCCAAAGGGCAAGAGCGGCGGCTCAGTCTTGCGGTGTCCCGGGCTGAGGATACCAACCATCAGAGGCCGCCAACGTCGGCTCCTTGCACCTCTTAACGCGAAATAAAGTTTGTTCACTCTCTCTCGACTAGAAATGTCTAGGAAACACTCTTCGTGGTTTCTTTACCTTTCACACATATTCAGCTTGAGTCCTCCTCATCGTTAAAAATTTTTTTTCCACGGTTTCTTTTTCTTAAACACAATAATCAAGCTTCAAGCAGCCGAAAACTTCCCCTCGCATTGTGATAGAAAGGCCTTGTTCTTTTCATTTCAACTTTTGATGACGGATACAATTCCCTTGCAAGTTTTTTTTTTTGAGCCGTCCGGTTTAAGGAGAAAGACTCTTCAGTCAGCAGTGCAGCTGAGGCTTCATATTCACCACTCGGGCCAAAGGTAGCCGTGCCTAAGAACAAGGACACTTCTGTCAGCAACTGCAGTTGAAGAATGGCCTGAACTCCCAAGGCTACTTGCACCTGACGTGGGACGTCGGGTTTCTACAGTAAAGGCCAGCTCATCTGCACCTGATAAACTAACGGGTGAATATTTACAAGATCTCGGCGTGGTCAGCACCCTAGACAGTGGTATTCGTTTGCTGCTGAGCTAAGCGCAGACGCCGATAAGTCGGAGAGTGTTGCAACAGCTGGACACCATCATTCCATTTCTCGCAAGCTTATAGAAGTCCATTGCTTGAGAACACAAGCAGCACCAGCACGGTTTAACCGTCGACATGATTTTGGGAGTATGGGACTGCGCTTACAAGTTGCGTAAATCAACGAATGTGCTGCTGTGATTTTAGCCACGGGACTGACCTTATCGTATGTGGTGTCAGGCGCGCAAAACTGTTGTAGCATTGACGAATAGAGTGCTTTTTGCTCCTCTCTAACTTTCCTTCCCTCTTTTCTTTCCTCAGTGCAACGTAGCTTCCAGGATCAGCCCTGGTCGAGCTCCCTGTTTTTCTTTTACCATTATTTTTTCTCTCTCCCTTTATCCTTCAACCCTATGGGGCGTTTCAGGGCGTCTTTCCACACACGGCTATTCATCTTTTATTCACCGTCATCGACAACCTTGTAACATCCACTTCTTAGTTTTTTCGTTTTGTTCCTGCGTTGTGTAATGACGCTGGCAGGCTTAGTTGCAGCCTAAATGAAGCACTCTGGCTGGTGGGCGAACTCACGCATCTGCGGTGAGACGAGTTGAAAAAAAATAGGAGGGTGGGGGAGTAAGAATGAATGTATACGAGATATTGCAGTCGCATCTCAAGCCATGTTTCCTAAGTTTGTCACACAAACACACACACGTACAAACTTCTACAGGAATCGAAGTGGATGAAAATGATCGACAGAAAGGGTGATTTCTCATCCAGTGTGGTTCAATTGGTATACTACTGTACAGTAGAATACACTAGTTAACAACCTGTATGCTTTCACTGGCTCCGATTGTCTGTAGAATTCGATTTGTTCGTGCCAGACGGGCGTCTGTGAGTTGTCTCTGTCAGGACCTTTCCGTCACCTAGCGGGATTACGTGGAACTCGCTCGCAATACCCTTTCCCTCTCTCTCGCGCAGAGAACTACACGTACCTGTACGCCAACTTCACCTTCGTGCGCCGGCTGACGGCGTCCATCGTGAACACGTACATCCCGAGCGGCCTGGTGGTCAGTCTGTCCTGGCTGACCTTCTGGCTGGACGTCTCGGCCGTGCCGGCGAGGATCACCCTTGGGCGTCACCTCCATCCTGACGCTGGCCACCCAGGTGGTGCAGTCACGTAGCTCGCTGCCGCCCGTCGACTACCTGAAGGCCGTCGACGTGTGGCTCTTCGTCTGCCTCGTCATGGTGTTCGCCTCGCTGCTCGAGTACGCCGTCGCCTACAACTTCGAGAAGATACTGGCCCTGGTAATGGAACCGTTTACGTAGATATGTACCAACAAATCATGAACAGTGATCCACCGAAGTGTCCGCACAGTTTTACAGCGCACGTGTTGGAACTTTTCGTTATGCATCTTCGCGTCACCAGAAAGTTATCTTCATCAGGAACGGGTGTGAGCCATAGAAATCGGGCCATTCAAGTCCGAGTGAGAGAGAGAGAGAGAGAGAGAGAGAAGGGTTAAGTGAAAACTGGCAGGCTTAACCCACCCTCCCCCCCCAAAAAAAAACTTTCTGGTTCGCCCCTTGCACTGGGGAAGGGGTAAGGGGGAATATAAAGGCAAGGAACGAAAAAAGAGCAAGGGTAAAAAAAGAAATAAAGGCGTACATACACTAAAGCACGGGAGCGTCTTAGTCGTGCCGAGAGTCAAGTTCTTAACGAAGCTGGAGAAGCCAAGCTCAGTAAGATAGACCCCTTCAACTAGTTCAATAAGCCCTTCACATAGCAATAAACCCCCTCACACTAGTTGAACAAAGTGTTTCAGCCAATAACCACCTAGTAATAAAAAAGAATCACGAGCAATACACATCTTCAATTAGTGCAATAGTGTTCGCAGGCATATAGAGTATGTCATAATATTTTTATTGACCTGTCCAGCTTGGTAATTAACAAAATTGCCTAATGAACTTCTTAAATTGTGACTCTTGAGAATAATCTTCAATACAAAATTTGTAGCGCTTAATCAGATATAATATCATTTTCAAGCTGCGGTAAGATAACTGTGCTGCTTTAAATTTTTGCAGCCATTGTTTAAAGTGCGCGAAATAAAAAAAAAGTACCACGTAATTGCCGCTTAACGCGCGGCGTTTTTAGTGCCCTCACATGTAACCTCAAGGAATAACCAAAAACTCCCACACGAAGGTCGCTTAAACAGGCTATTGGTGAATACGATGGATGTTAAGGAATGGTAGGATAATAAAAATAAAAAAAAATGACAGCATATCCACGGAGTGAATGATGATGAGTGGGGCGAAGCCCCGTCCGTGCTTGCGTCCGTCCGTGCGACCATCCGTGCGTCCATCCATGCGTCCGTTCGTCTGTCTGTGCGTCCGTCCACAAGTCCGTCCACCCGTCTGTCCGTTCGTTTGTGCTTCTATTCGCTCTTACGTCCGCGCGTCCGTCCATCTGTCCGTCCGTCTTCTAGTCTGTCTATCCGTCCGTCCGCGCATGCGTCTATCTAGTGAACACTCCTAGTACCGCCATCTCGCATCCTCTGTGGCACATACCTGCTCTAGAGCGGGTATGTGCCACCGGTGGCTACGTACGACAACAACAGAGGAAGAACAGACAAAGACCCCAAGCGTGCAGCTTCGCCCCTAAAACAAAATTGACGAAAAAGCAGCCTCCACGTGCGAATGTGATACACGAGTCCGCAGGCAGCATTTGACGCAGCGCCGTATTTTTTTTTCTTTTCGGGCTATAGATAAACATGTCACCCTCTCCCCCTCTATCATGACTATTGTTATACTGAAAAGAAAAGAAAAAAAATCCGGTGCTGCGTCGAATGCTGCACGCGGACTCATATTACATTCGCACGTGTTGGCTGCTTTTTCGTCATTTCTTTTTATTCGTACTATCCTACCGTTCCTTAACATCCATCGTATTCATCGATAGCCTGTTCAAGCGACCTTCGTGTGTGAATTTTTGACAATTCCTTGAGCTTACATGTGGGGGCACTAAAAACGCCGCGTGTTAGGCGGCAATCACATGGAATTTTGAATTTCGCGCATTTTAAACAAAGGCTGCAAATAAATAAAGCAGCACAGTTATCTTACCACAGATCGAAAAAAATATACTATATCCGACTAAGCGCTACAAGTTCTCTATAGGAAATTTTTCTCTAGAATGGCTATTTAAAAAGTTTGTTAAGCAATTTTTTGTTAATTGCCAAGCTTAGCGGGCCAATAAAAATATGACGTGCTGTGTATGACTCAAAACAATACTGCACTAACTGGAGATGTGTAGTGCTCGTGATTCTTCTTTTATTACTTGGTGCTGTTTGGCTGAAACACCCTGTATACTACTGACCCATTCGAGCCTAATTAAGCCGAGGGATGCCCATCTGGCGCTAATAGTTAGATCTGGCGCGAGATAAAACCAATCTCATGTACGATACTTTCGTTTCAAGCGTTCTAATTACGCTGTGATGATGATTCTAAGAATCCCAATATCACAATTTCTCTTGTTCATTAAAATGTCTTTAGACACTTCGTTGATAACGATTTGTGTTATACGGTTAGTGTAGAGCATCATGATTCATTAATGGGTGAGAACAATAAATGTTTAGTGCCGTAAAGTTCGTACAAAACTGATTATATGTTACAGGTTGTCATATAGTGAAGCTTAAACTGTGCAATCTTACCATAAAATATCTTACTCTAAAAATCTTACTATAAAAAAAATTGCATTTTTGAAATCAGCAAGAAAGCCCATATATGCAGCAAAAATGTCATTGCCTTAGCCTACATATTTAAACAATTTTTTTAATCGCATCTACCCTCAATGCCCGGAAACGAGCGTTCTGAACGTATGGTTCGCAAAACTGTTGGATAATCCGTGCATCCGCACCTTAGTTCGTAATCCGTGCGGCCACATCAATTTTAAATTGCGCAGTTACCGAACGATAGAGAGCTCAGATATTTTAGATACCCCAAGTCGTCATTTAGGGCGTAAAAAAAGTAATCTAGGATATTACTCTCAACATCAACCAGACTCAGTTGAATTGTCATGTGTTTAATTCGAATCATTTTCAGTCAATCAGAGCCACCGACATGGCAAATTGGAGAACGGTGCGATGCCTGAAGACGACTTGAATACCGAAAGACTTGTCCGAAAAATTCGTGTGCGCATACGCAAACGGCATCGCCAGCGTTGTTCTAAAGTGCAAGCCGCACCGCAGATGCCACTGTGCAAAAGACAAACAAGGGACGAGATGAAGACAGCTAAAGGGCTGACCTTCAGCAAATGCTTTATTGCGCAGATGGTGTGCTTACATAAACTCGTGTCTCCAACTGCAAAATGAAAAAAAATGAAAAAAAAAACAACAGAGAGGAAGAAGGTAAGGGTAACGTGAATTCAATGCCAGAAATCGGGCTCTTTCCTATTAAAACAACAGGCGGCCTGCATGCTTACTCGTTCATCACCTGCCCAAACAGTTTGAGACGGCTCTACAACTTATCCGGTTGTCTTACTCATATCGGGGTAGACAACAACACACGGCCGTTTAGGTTCTTGCTTTCGGTTGTTTCTTTTGCAGATCCAGACGCGGTCTATAAAAGCTGGCAATCTCGGAAAAAAAAATTCCGCCATATCCATGAAGTGAATGATGATAAGTGGGCGAAGCTCCGGAGGTAAACCTGGTAAACCATGAATCTTCTGTACATTTTGCCCACTCGATTTTATTACATCGCTCCCTCTAGCGTACGTCGCCGCACTAAATGGAACGATTGCCTTCAACCAATGACACGCGCCATATGTGACATCATTCCTATTTTATAAGCTCTCGCGTCTTTCATCAACTACAAGTACCGCTTTTTAGTTTATAACATCTTGCATCTTTTCATCATCAGCTACAAGTACCACCATCTAGTAAACACTACAAGAACTAAACTAGAGGTGGCTACATACAGGGGACGGTACCACCATCTATTGAACACTGCAAGAACTAAACTAGAGGTGGCTACATACAGACTACAGGGGACGCACAGCCCACGCCCTAAGGAGCTTCGCCCCTAAAAGCAGTTTAATGTGGGCGCTTATCCTGCGTTCATCTGGCACCCTGTTCATTTTTTTTTACGCTATGGTTCATGTAGTATGATTAACTACGACCACTCGCAAGCTTCCTTCCCTCTAACGCCAAGACGACTGCAGGAACGGAAACGGAAGACCGACTCACTTCCGGCCGCGATACGGGTGGCGCCCTCTGCCCGAATCACGCCGCAGGCGTGGCAGAGCGACGGCGTGGGTTCGGGGGCCCCTCCACCTCCCATCTCGCGACCTCCTTCCTCCAGCACTCACGTGGACACGTCAATAGCCTCCGGGAGCAGCGCGCCATCTGACGGTGTGGCAGCCAACAACCACAATCACGCCCTTGTCCCTCCGTCCGTGGTGACACTGAGCGTGCCCAACTCGGTGCACAGGCCAGAGACCAACAACGTGGCCCCACCAAGGTAAGAAATAAAACAGGTTCCGTAGCTTTATTAAACTGGACTTTTCTTTTTTTTTTGGCCTATTTGGTATTTTATACTGAGAACTCTTTCAGCGCGGAAATGGCAACGAGGCATACACAGCATACGCAGCTGATTTGTTATGTATTCTTGATCTTTTCAGCATCCAGCTCGTAATTAGTCCACGTGCTACGTGACGCCAGTTGGCGACAAAAAAGGGGTTCGACACTTGCTGCCATGGCTGCGAGTGGTCCTGGCTAACACTGCCAGCATGACGTAAGCACGAATGTCAAATGAGGCGGGTAGTAAAGCAACCATTTATGTAGAGTAAATGATTGGTAGAACATCAGATGGTTCATTTGAAGGTTGTAGGTTCAGTTCATGCCTGCATCTAGTTAATCTCTCATCGCCTTCGACATTTTTTTTCGTTTTGTTTATACTACAGTACAGTTGAAACATACACCTAATACCTCCTAAATTATCATTAGCTACATTGGCGGTTGGTTTCATCAGTACATGTCATAGTCAGTTTTCCTCGCTAGAATAGTTATAATAAAACCTAATCATTTGGATTCTGATTGAACGAAGGCGTCTTTCTCTTGCAGCGAGAGCCAACACTATAGCAATTATCAGCCATCATTTAGTCATGCTTCAGCCACCAATAGCCGGCGCTGCTTGCGAACGAGTAGATACGGCATCTCTGCAAGAAACGACTCACCTTGATAAAAGTTGGATTCGGCCTTATATTGAACGTTGATATTATTGTGGGCATCATCGCACCCTTTGTTTCTGTACGAAATATAGCCGCGAAAATTATTCAACGCGAAAGCATTTCTTGGCTTTATGATAAGGTCGGCGAAAGCACAAACTCAGCCGACATCTGCAACAGCTGGGTACGCAGAGCAAGCGACCTCTTTCAGCGGACCTGGCACTCAGGCGGTGTCGCTACGGCGCATGCGCAGCTTGTTATAGAAAGAGTTAGGACGGAATAATCCCATTCACAACTCGAAATGCACGGACTAACGTTACTGACGTGGGAACAAAATGCCCCAAAATGAACAAACCTTTATTGGCCGTGTGACGAAGCTGATGTAACAACCATGATGTTCTTCTTGTTTGCCTATTGCTTGTGGCGCATACTCACTTTGGGGGATTGGACGAGAATCGAGTGGTTTTATAGAATAATACGAAGTTTTAGAATAACGGAGGTTATATAATAAAAAAATAAAGATTATAGATTACCTAGGAAAGCTTGGTGCTTGATCTAGTCCATATAATTATTTAAATAAAAAAACGTTTTCTACGAATTAGATCAATATGTATACCCTTATTTTTTACAAGTTTATAACGTTTATAACACGTTAAGATAATGAAGGTGATTTGTGTTATTGTTCTTGTTCACCTTTTTTTGTGGCTCATACCCACACTGCGAGAGATTGGTAATAATTTAAGTGGTCTTATAACATGGTATTAAAATTTACAGTAATTGAGGATATATAACAAAACATTTCGAATTTTAGAATTAAATTTTGATGCTCACTCAAATGTACGAAACATATTGAATTTTTATCAATAATAGAGAATACCTTAAATCAACACCCTACTTTTCAAAAGAAATAAAATGAAAGGTATGCATGTGTCGACACAGATCGATGATGATATGGATACATTGATATAGACAATGATATGAAGCCATGATGTCCGAGCTTGTCAGCATCTTTGTATTTTTCGCGGACGTCAAGCACACTGTCCACTATATCGGAAATCGCTTCTGCGGAAAAGGAGCTGAAGAGTTTGAGAAAGGGAAATCGACTACTGCTACTTTCCTGGTTAGCTCGGTCGATAGAGTAACCATCCCGGGAAAGTGTTGGTCCGAAATTTGAATGATATTTGACCTGGTTTCAGTGTGGTATTATGTTTCTTTTTCGGATTGTTTATTTTCGGGTAGCGTTCAGTATTATTCCTTTTTTTTTTCGCTGCACAACTTCATGATATGGAGTAGCTGAGGCAATACGAACCTCAACCTCTCTACAGCAATACAGAACAGAATCAGGGCAAGTTTTTCGACAACTAAGAGCTCTCCATCTCGGGAATCCGTATGGAGTTCTTTGCATGGCTTTGTGCTTCAAACGAGGTCGATTTCATTTTTCTCAATGTCCTACGACGAAAAAATGTTCGTGTTATTTGATGCTTTAACGAGAATTATAGAGTACGCATTAAGCACAGGGACAGTCGAATTTGTAAACGATATTTATGTGAAGAAATTTTCACATGGCCCCGCCGCGGTGGTCTAGTGGCTAAGGTACTCGGCTGCTGACCCGCAGGGCGCGGGTTCGAATCCCGGCTGCGGCGGCTGCATTTCCGATGGAGGCGGAAATGTTGTAGGCCCGTGTGCTCAGATTTGGGTGCACGTTAAAGAACCCCAGGTGGTCTAAATTTCCGGAGCCCTCCGCTACGGCGTCTCTCATAATCATATAGTGGTTTTGGGACGTTAAACCCCACATATCAATCAATCAATCAATTTTCACATGTGAACGATATCGCCCGCGCCTCTTCCCCGCTGCCCCAGGCCACTCAAGACGGGCCGGAGACGCATCTTCCAGCGAAGCTTCACGCTGGGCCAGCTGTGGCAAAAGACCAACTTGCTGGACAAGGTGTCGCGCATAGCCTTCCCCTCGGTCTTCTTCTTCTTCATGCTGATATACTGGTCCTACTACCTCTGGTGAACGCGCCCGTTCGCCACACAGGTGCGCGCCGTAAGTGCTCGGGGTGAACTCGGCCTAGCGACGGCCTTATACGCAATGTTTCGTTGACGATGCCTTCGTTGTATACTCGCTGCTGCCAGCTGGTGTGTGTTTGGAGAAAGAAAAAGAAAACTTAACGTGAATGGTTGTATGAATAAAGCACTGCTACTTGTTGTTCTTATTTGCAGTGTGTTGTGCTTTGTAAGGATTATTTAGTAGCAGTTATTCCATTACAGTATTAACGCGATAGCGTTCAAAGAGCTCTTGCCGCAGAAAACGCACCTCCGGTGTCGGCCCCGTTGGTTGTGAGCGAAAAATCGTCTGTGCGTCTGTGACCGAAAAATCAAGCTACCAAGATAGCCTCGGGAGGCCGCTACTTGTCCACGCGTGCGCGCGCGATCACACTGAAAAAGCCGCGCATACGAAGAAAAAAAAAGAAGTGCTCAAGGTGACGAGGCGCAGTAGTTTCCTTGCCCTGCCACCCCTCCCTGCTTAGCTTCCAGCGCTTTCGTCGGGACGAGAGAATGCAATTGCAGCATGCGAGAAACCTTTGTAACTCCACTCGCACTGGACGGATTCTTAAAACTTTTGCGGCGTTGAATTCGTGAGGAAATGAGCTCTTCTAGGGAATTCATTGCATGTTTACTTGAAAAAGTGTTTCAGGGCCCATTTAACGCATTTTATTCGACATGTGTCACGACGAAAACGAGCCCTTTCGGCGATAATAGCGTGCGCTGGTCCAATCTACTGTGTGAGTGTTTGTGTTCGTGCGTGTGTATGTAACAAAATATATGAATAAGTGTGCACTTAGCGGTTGAAGGGTGCACTAGGGGCCGGATTTCGCTATCACGTTCAGCTTTTAAAGGCGAAGCTTAATGTCTAGTTCACACTGAAACATCCGCTTTCTACAGCGACCGAAATTCCCCTGCCGCCGAAAAGCAGCGTCGTTCGCACTGGACGCGCCCCGCGCCGCCGAATATGCCATCTACTACGGGGGGAACGCGGGATGGATGCGCTGTCACCCGGTTGTTGTCGCGGCTTGCAAACGCCACTACGCTATCCGGTGGTGTATACTTCGACGATCCTCGTACACAAGAAGAAAGAAAAGACAGTACTGCTTACTTTGCTGGCAAGTGGCTGTCTTGTAATGCACGAAGAGCAGAAAAACCACGGACTCCAGCGGCGTTGGTGGGTTTGTTTTGCTCTGCAAGACCGCAACAAGCTCTGTCACGCCAACAGCAAGCTCGGTCACCTCTTTCACGAAATACGGAGGCGAAGTAGGCACAGAGTAGGTTAAACTCCCGTTGGTTTCAACATTCAGTTACGTGCACTGCGGCATAACAAGTGAGTAGGGCTTGGCCGCCATTTTTCAAAATTCCTTGACTAGCGCTCCTATTGGTCCGCCGTGACCGATTCGGCCGCAGACGCCGCAAAAATCGGTCCGAGAGCGATCGGCGCGGAGAGGTTCCTTTCGGCGGATCTCGCCGCCGCCGAACCGGATTCGGAGCACTTTCGGCGGCCGGAATGCTCAGTATGAACGCGGCCTCCTAAGGGTCCCCCAATTTTCTTTTCTTTCAGGCTCGCGGTCGTTGCACACAAAAGGAGCCCAGCAGCTTTCTGCTGCCAAAACAACTTGCCTTACTAAAATGAACACTAAGTGAAGATATGAAGTTACCTCGGATTGACCTTTCACCTGTGTTAGGGTGCATTACCGCCTTTTGAGAGCTACTAAATAATTAATTTGTGTCGAAAACAGCCACCACTGGTCCCTGGTGCCACCGCTTCATTTGAACCACTCGCGCCAAGCAGAGCTCGATGTCATAACAACCGTAGACTGTGGAGGCTTCAACGCATAGTAGGAAAGCGCCAAATTCTTACGAGCAAAAGGAAACAACGTTTTTAGAGATTTACGCAGTTGCGCTCAACGTGAAAGCTGTATATGAAGTGCGCAGCAGTGTTTCATTCGCCTGTCCTTCATCCTCATTTCAGATTGCCGTCTAATTAGCATACTATGCTATACACGTCCATGTCATGTTCTCTCCTCCTCCTGCTCCTTTCTCTTACTACCCTTCCCCACACCCTTACTATACTAAACCACGCACGGCTATGCTGAAATGGTCCTTTCTGCGTGACACCATACGCTGCACTGCTATGCTCAGCCCTCCTCCTTCCTATTCTCCTCTTTCTCAGTTCACTTAGCTAACCTTTGTTATACTCGTGTTATACACGGCTATGCTGTATACTGTTTGGCGTGCGCGACACTAAGCCGGGACATAAAATGACAGCGTAAGTTGACAGCACATTCCTTTCCCCCATCTCTGCTTGCCTCTTTTCACCCTATCTTCGCCCTCACAACCCCTCTACTGAGCTTCGCTTCCCCCTCCCTGATATACATAGTCACTGCATACATGATGGCTATTTGAATTGAAATTGAAATTTTATTCGCGTGCGTTATGCAAAACGGTGACGATGACAGCATGCGATAAGTCAGGGTCCTTAAAGTGTTACGATTCCACAGCGCCACGATCAATAGCTAAGAACCACCTACACGTCTTCTAAGGAAGTGGGTGACGTTGAGGAGATGACGTGAACAGAGAGAGATGAGAATGCGAGAAATAAATTACCATCTCAGTCCTCCCACTCAAAGTAAAAGATGAAAAAGAAACAGAAACGACTTTTAGAGAAACAACTTCATTTTACGCGAGATTTCTTACGCAAAACATTGTACACGATATGACATGAGGCTCTGACTTCAGCTTCGCTACCGGGCTTGAGTACTGGCATGGCAATATGCTACGTCCTTGATGGCAAGAAGTCGTCACCGATCGACATCATCGTTATTACCTCCGTTACCAGTATTATCACCATCGCATCAAATGTCCCCTGCGGGTCGGAAGCCTCTTCCAATGACCTCCAGTTTACCCCTACCCGCACGAGAATTCATGTAAGAACATTCGCCTGCTCAAAAGCGTGAGATGCTTGGAAGTTCTCTTCACTAAGCAATCATGAACCATATTCCGCCTTTTCCATGTTCCTGTGCAGCCCTACATCGTTTTCGTAAGGGATGCAAAACTTTTGGGTGTGATCTGGATAACTGTGATCGCCAGAACAAAAGTCTCCAAGACCGAAGGGCGTACGGAGACCCTACCACCCAGTTTCGCTACCTTCTAGCTATGAAAAAGGCGCACGCACAAAAGCACCCTGAAAATAAAGGCTGATTGAGTGAGACACCGCAAAGTGCAGCGGGACTTCTACAAGCTCCGTGGATATTTTAGACAAGTTTCGCGAAAATCAATACATCTGCAGTACCCTTACCTACTACCTCCAATCTAAGGCTATTGAGGCCTCAAGTTTATAACATGACAGCTGAATCGAAGAGGTAAGTACTGAATTTCTGCACACAAAGACGGGTACAAGGAGAGATGATAAACTGTGTAGGCTTGAAAATATGCGTGGAAAAATGTCAGACCGCATTCCAGACTTATTTATTGTGCAACTGTTACAAACGCTATGAACCTGCGTTTGCTCTGCTTTTCATACATGTGATTTGTTTCGAGCAACAGCTGCGAATTCAAACTCGAAAGGTGCGTAAGCTGTCGCACGCGAAGCTTCACTGTCGAGGTAAGTATACGACAACGAACGACACGGATGCACGTGATAACGTATAGTCACGAGCAAAACGTGGCGAAGACGGCGAGCCGAGTGAGTGCATTCGACCCGCCTGTCAGGCAGACTAGAACCGGAAACTTACTAGTGAAACCAACGCGCGCTCCATCTATCAACAACTCCAGAAAGCATATCATTTTCAACGCTTGGTGGCGCTGACATCAGTTCAAGCGAACCGAGGCCACGCGTCGGAGCATTCGAGGTGAAGGTGCTGACGGCTGTAAGATGAACATTGAACTAGTTTTGTAAAGAAGTGTCACGCTTTGGTTTTTATACCAATTCCAATGACGGAGAAATGAGTTGTTTTTTTTTTCATAACATGAGAGCAATGCAAAGAAAAAAAATGAACGTTTTTTTTATTCAAACACTCTGTCTGAGATGTTACTGAAATGTAACTTAGGTGTACTTGGAGTATACTATCTTGCTAAAATGTTATAAGAGCTGGTAGAAAATATGAAATCTTTTGCCATTCTTATTATGTACTCAGTCCCTTTCCACTCCTCCCCAATCTTGCTGTGCTGAGCACCTCGAAAGTCTGGCTTATTCCAAAACAGACTTCTCAATAAAATTCAATTGGTACTGCACCTTCATTACAGCTTCAACATAGGGATTCTGAAATAAGAGGCATTTTTGGCCAATTTGGTGCGACCTGTTAAAACACTGTTTATGAGTACAAACCTTGACCTACATAGATAGGACAACACGCAAGCGAAGGCCCATGTCAGAATTGTTTGTCCTTTGCAGTTAGTCATTCTTCTTTCCCAGTTTTAGCTGCAACGACTTTTTTTTATACTGATCTAAAAGCTTCAAGTCCCATTAACCCATGCTGGCACACTAGAACCTCACTTTTAAGTAAGCCTTCACATGACGAATCTTTCGAAAAGCTACTTTGGTCTCGGTGAACAGGTGCTACCATGAACACCATTTGACTTTCTTCTTTTTTAAAGGGCCACTTTCGACGCAACACGTATAAGAGGCGTTCCACTTTCAAGTGGCCTTCTCTTGCGTCAATATAGTCCTCCTTGCGGAACTTTCGAAAATCAATCAAAGCTGTTTCAAGCGCACACGTGTGAGAAACCTTTTGAATCTCCTCTCCTTTGTTCGTTGTGGGGGAAGCACGGCAGAGCTTTGATCGATGGCGTTTCCGTTTCTGTCACACCTTCGCAAACAAACAACATTGCCGGACCTTGGCACGATTCGTCGGGTGGCACATTGAGCGAAGACACTGAATGAAAGATAAGAACACAGAGAGAGAGGGGGGGGTAAAGAGAGAGGGAGAAAATGACAAAAAAAACGTAATGAGGTCGATCTTGATT